TCAAGTCTCAAGCTGTCTACTTCAACTCTAAATCTAAGATTCTGCCAGCCAATTTAGGGCTATGCATCCATTTAAGTTGTCTGTCTTTCTTTGTTCAACTCGTCTATGTATATTCTGTTAACTCTGAAGGTCTGTTCTCTCATATTAAGGTATTGCAATGGCCACATTTGGTCACTCCTGGAGGCAGCAGAGACGGTTTGCTCTGCACACGCTCAGGAACTTTGGCCTGGGGAAGAAGTCTGTGGAGGAATGTGTGACAGAGGAAAGCAGTTACCTGGTTCCCTCAAATCAGAAGGTTATTGAGAATTTCAGTCTCTGTTTGAACGTTTTCAAAGTTCAGAGGTGCTGTAGACTCTCAATCATGTGCACACCTTGTCCTTTTGAGTCAGAGTTAGAAACAAACTTTAAACATGCCACTTCACGCCTCTCTTTGAATACTGCATTCATAAGCTCAAAAGAAACATGTCCACTTCATCAAATGCTGTTTATGTTCTCTGTGTTCTTAAATTTCCTGGTACGAATGAGAAACCGCTTCAGATGTTTCAGTGTGTGCAGGAAACTGAACAAATTATTCAAACGGAGTTGCTAACCAGTTTTTCCAACTTGCTTGATCAAGAACAGAATCGACTCAAAAGAGTGATTTATTTGTGAATGGGGCAACGCTCATGCCCCATAAAAATGAGACAGTGCATGCTTGGAATTAACTATGCATTTCTTAACATGTACTGGTTTCAAATGAAGTAACGAAAGGAACGTCACCCAGTGTATCAAAGTACAGTTTTTCGTTAGAAGTGTACTCGAGTTAAAGTAAAAGTACCCACCTTTAAATCTACGCTTAAAAGTACAAATTTTACAAAAATGTCTTCTAGTAAATGTAGTTTGTTACTACCCACCTCTGTTTGTATTATTATTGCTTAAATTTAGGTTAGCTTCAAATGCCATTAAACCAGGATCTATTTTTATTCAGAAAGCCAGCTGTAATGTCAATTTAAATTTATTTACTTGTCAAGATTCTCTTTAAAGTATTAAAACAGTACTTGCCAGAGACTAACATATGGTTTTCTTTGTTGAAGGCAAGCCGTTCGACCCACAACATGCAATACAGAATGCAGTATCCAACATTATCTGTTCCATTGTGTTTGGGGATCGTTTCGACTATGATAACAAGTGCTTTGCATACCTTCTGGAAATTGTGAAGGAGAACATTATTCAGTCAGGGTCACTTACTGGACAGGTATGAACAACAAGTACTACATATGTTTTTAGCTTAAGACTATCCTAGTATAAAACTGTATCAGGAGGTCGATCATGTTCACTGTTTCTATTCCCACAGATTGTTGACACATTGAGTTAAACTCTACTAAACTCTACCAATAAGGTTGTAGGCAGTTACTTGACCAGGGATGTCCAGTCCTGCTCCTGGAGGTCCACCTTCCTAAAGAGTTTAACTAAAACTTTTAAACTTACTTGAAAAGGCTAATCAATCTGGTATTTAAGAGCCAGTTGAAGCTAAAGTCTGCAGGAAGGTGGAATACCAGGAGCAGGACTGGAGACTCCTGCAGTTGATGCAGCATAGTTATATGTAGCCATTTTATTTTCCAGGTGTTTAACTTGCTTCCCATCATCAAACATTTCCCAGGGCCACACCAGAAAATTTACCAGAATGCAGAAGATTTAAAAGCTTTCATCAGGAAAGCAGTCAAAACGCACAGAGAAACTCTGGATCCAGACAGTCCACGGGACTTTATTGATGCCTACCTGCTAGAGATTGAGAAAGTGAGATCATCATGAACAACCGCTCTAGAAACAGTATTATCCACTATTTGATAGTTGGTGGGAGCTTCATTCCCAATTTTATCCCTGATTGGTTGATTGGAATTTTGTTACAGGACCAATAGTATTTTACAAGGTGAAATCACAGTAAGCAGTTAGGGAACTAGATATGGTTGTTTAAACTGAAATGTCTTTTTTTCTTCATGGAGCAGCAAAAATCCAACGAGGACTCCACATTTCATGAGAATAACATGGTAATGTCAGTATCTGACCTTTTCCTGGCTGGAACCGACACCACAGCGACCACCATCAGATGGGGCCTCATCTTCTTGACTCAAAACCCAGATGTACAAGGTACTTAGGCTGAAGATTATCAGCATTCTGTAGCTCAAACAGTAGATCATGGTCCTAGGAAATGCCAAGTTGATGGGATTGATTCCCAAGTAATAAGTCTACATGAATTGATAATGTGTATCTTGTAAGTTCTGTATGCTGCTTTGGACAGAAACTACTGCCAAGTCTGGAAATGTAGTTATAAAATTGATTAGGTGATAAAGTGTTCCGTTCTTTTGCATATAGTTCAAGGGTTAGTTCACCTAAAAGTGAGAATTCTGTCTTCTATCAAAGGTAATAGCTTTGTGTGAGGAACAGACCTAGTTTTATCTGTTATTCACTGAAAATCCCCTCCTCCACAGCTCTCAAATCTCATTTGTACAGTATTTCCACATATCCATGTAACTATTGATTCTGAGATGCACAAAACTACGAGGATTCGACATTCCCAAGGTAATGAATGGATGTTTGTTGTTTCTTGATTGAAATTGTTTTGCTAACAAATGTTGTTTTTCTAGGGCACTGTGATATATACCAACTTAACGGCAATTTTAACTGATAAGGAGCACTGGAAGTACCCAGACACTTTTAACCCAGAGAATTTCTTAGATGATAATGGACATTTCTTCAAACCAGAGTCTTTCCTCCCTTTCTCCTTGGGTGAGTCACCTTTAACTGTGACTTCAGTAGACAAAAACCAAACACTGCATTTATACGATTGTGTTTTATCTCCATTTATCAGGTCCGAGGGTGTGTCTCGGTGAGATCCTTGCTAAGACGGAGCTCTTCCTCTTCATCACTTCTCTCTTACAGCGGATTCGTTTCTCCTGGCCACCTGGTGCGAAGTGGCCAGACATGAATGGGATTGTCAGTGTTGTCCGCTCTGCTGAGCCATTCGACATCACCTGCCACAGCAGAGGATCCACAGAGTGACCATCAGTACACTTTCCAAAATTTACAGACATGAATGGGATTGTCAGTGTTGTCCGCTCTGCTGAGCCATTCGACATCATCTGCCACAGCAGAGGATCCACAGAGTGACCATCAGTACACTTTCCAAAATTTACACCAATTTCCATAGATGTTTTAACTATAGCTGTCAAAATTAATGTTAACTATGTGATTCTTTTTTTTTTCCAGTTTAATGCATTAGAAATATTTAACACAAGCATCCATTTTTTCCTGGCATACTTTGACCAGCCCGGGGTCGTCACATGTGGTTGCCGCACGCTCGCTCCTTCGCCGAATCCGCCGGCCGTGCCATTCTCAAGCCCGCCGTGTGTGACGCTGTGTAACGCATTTTATGGAAGTCTGTTTCCTGAACCTGCAAAGTAGCATACAATGGGTCTGTGCTCAAAGGCTGTTCTATAAAGTGGGGCAGTTCCAACTTTGCAAGGACAGTCTGGCGCTTTGCAAGTACATTTTTTATATTTAAAGAATTTGCCACTGATGATTCAAACGCGAGTAGCGCTTGTTGTTTGTCGTTTCTCCGATCACAAATGCAGACATGGTTTTATGTTTACGCAGCGCGATACGCAACGCAACGCGTAAAAACACAGTATAAGTCATTATAATCAGTAATTATGTCCCCACTGGATGCAACAAATGCCTCGTTTGTAATGGGTTTTA